GAACTCCTTGCTCTGTTAATGCATTTCGTAGTTGCGCTGCAGAGTCAATCTGGCCAGATGGTTCTGACATGATTGTTCACTAGACTCTAGTGCAGAAACAACTACAAACGCCACACCAGCAAAAGGTAAGTTCGAATTTATTTGTGACCAGCAGGGGGGGGGGGCAGACAGGTGGACGGAGCAGCAGCAGGCAGCGGGTAAGGACCCGTTGGGGGTTTGCTTGTAGGAGGCGGTGGGGGGGTCCCGGGAGGGAGAGCCGGAGCATCCACTGGGGGTAGATGGGTGGACAGGCAGGCGAGCGCGTAGAGCGGGGTGGTCCAGCAACGAAGGCGGAAGGACAGGAAGCGGAGCCAGGCAGGAGACAGGGAACGGCTGTGAGCAGGAGCCGCGTGGAGCTGGACGAGAAGCCAAACCAGACCCTCTTACAGACCAGGGACGAGGATTACTTAGGACCGAGGACTCACTGGAAGCGTAGAACCATCTGGCAGCGCTATCAGGATCCGGCTTCTATTTAACTGCTCCTCCTGATGGATAGATGAGCTCCAGCTGGCCGCTCCTGTCCGACACGCCCTGCAGGAGAGAGGGTAGGAGACAACACACTCACAGCACCGCTTAGTGGACATGACACATTTGTTCTTGATCTGTGGTGATATTCTGAGAATTATTTTCTAGCAATGGCATCCTAAGTGCTGCAGTTTGAGCTAAAAAGAAAAAAATCCATCGAAACTTGGCTTTCACTGGGTATCTCTCCACATACCTTCTTTCTGCAGGCGAAAGCGTTCCAGTGACCAAAACCAGTCTGCCCAGTTCGGGCGACGAGGCTGCAAGGAGATACAGCATGGAGGAACACAAGAGACACACACTGTTCTGTGGAACCCACGTCATCCAGACCCGCTTCTACACCGGCGAGCTGGTGAAGGCCGTGGTGATCCGAACAGGTGAGGCATGCGCATAAAAATGTTCATCATTAAAATGCAAAAATGACAACAATCTCAACGACTTCCCTCCACCTAACCCCCACACAGGCTTCAGTACAGAGAAGGGCCAGCTGGTGCGCTCCATCCTCTACCCTAAGCCCACAGACTTCAGGCTGTACCGGGACGCCTACCTCTTCCTGCTGTGTCTGGTTGGTGTGGCGGGCATCGGCTTCATCTACACCATCATCCTCAGCATCATGAACAAGGTCCCACTGCTGCTGCTCTGCAGGGTCTTATCATGTTTCTCAGCGTAAAGACGTGGAAACGCATTATGTTGCATAAATTCAAATGAAAAAGTGTAGAAAATCCAACCTTTAATTTGTACATTTATACAGTTGGGAGTCGGGGGGAAATACCACATGAGTAAATAGTTTTTCACCAATATTAGCTGTGTGATAACAAATGTTGCTGGACGATAAATTGTAACAGAAGTTATTGGCATAACCGACAGTGTTGTTTTGAGTCCTTTTCCCAAGTAATGTAAGACAATACAGCCAAACACCAGTCTCCCAGCTGAGTTTAGTGCATGTTTATCTTTGATACTAGGACAGAATAGACTCTTTTCTTGCATAAGTGTTAAGCATTGTTGCTCCTATCTGCAACTGTCCTATCAGTGAGTTTTAGAGATTGATTTGCCTCCCTTCCTTTGTTCTCACTGTGAGATGGCAATGTAAATATATGTCCCACTTTATTTGCATTACCCTGGGAAAAAGGAGGCCATGGGTTACTAATTAAAAGTTCCTACAAACTCCGATCGGCTTCTAAAGAGTTTAAAGGAAATTAATTTCCTCTGTTATATTTTGTGTATTTGGGTCTGTGGGCATTTTGTGGTAACAATTATTTCTTAAAATGGATTCTCCCCATTAAAGGGTCAGTAAGATGTAAAATTGACTTTTTTAAGCGTTACTTCTTGTTATAATATTATTCCCTCTTCAAAAACATACCTGGAGTGCTGCTTTGATTCTTTCATGTATGTTTGAGAAGTCCTTTAATCTCCCACCGCAACTCCCCCATCAGCTCCTTCAGACTAGCCAGCAGCAATTAGCAAAAACCTGGTGGAACTGTGTGCCTAATGAGCTCAATATAGGAGCTACTTCTCAGTGCAACGCTGGTGAAAACCTTGTAAAAGGGTTAATAGAGGAGCCATGTTGTGTTGACTTCCTGAAGGCGGAGTTTCAGAAAGAGCAGGAGATTTTAAAGAGACAGAGACCCAATTTCAAGGAGTTATCTTACAAAATCAAATTTCTTTTAAGTTATATTTGATATATGACAACATCTGAAGGTAACATAATTACATGATTTTGCTATAAATTGGTACTATATAGCTGTAAAACAGGTAGTAATGCCCCTTGAAGGCTTTTTCCATGCCTGTACTAGGTATGTCTCTAAATGTGGAATTTGTAGTTTTCACTGACGATTTCTCCAAAACATGCAGGTTTCAGCTAAAACCATCATCATCGAGTCTCTGGACATCATCACCATCACCGTTCCGCCAGCCTTACCGGCGGCCATGACAGCCGGCATCGTGTACGCACAGCAGCGTCTGAAGCGCGTCGGCATCTTTTGCATCAGTCCTCAGAGGATCAACATGTGCGGCCAGCTTAACCTGGTCTGCTTTGACAAGGTAATCCACAGCAACAAGACAACTTCACATTTCACTAGCAGATTTTTTTCAGTTGTATCAAAACATTTACCATGTTGTTAGTGAAACAGTCTGCTTAGAACTGGTTCTTTTTTTTTTTTTTTTAAAAAGACCAATTTTTAAGAATTATTGACTTAAAACAAGCTGAAAAGTTACTTGAAAGTTAGTTTTGTCTTATTTCAAGTGTACTAAGATATTTGCACTATAAACCAGACCAAAAATACTTGGTAAACATTTTGTATTTTTGAATTTCTAAAAATGATCATGAAAAGGAAGCAGTTTAAGAGTGAAGCAAAGATCCTGACTGAAATGTTCTGGTTGGTGCTTTAGCTGCATTTAGCTGTATTTATGCTGCAGACTGGCACCCTCACTGAGGACGGTTTGGACCTGTGGGGCATCCATAGAGCAGAACATGGCAGGTAGAGGAAATATCTCTCGCTCTCATTTCCTCCCTAAAAACGAACGCAGAACTCCTTGACTTGCGTCTGCAGCTTTGTTGCTCCGGAGCCGGGCCCAGTCGAGGAGCGCTTGGTGAAGAGCACCTTCATGGCCTGCATGGCAACGTGTCACTCTCTCACCAAAATAGAGGGAGAGCTCTCCGGAGACCCTTTAGATCTGAAGATGTTTGCCGCCACATGCTGGGTAAGTAAAAAGTTGCTTCAGACAGAAACGGTTTGAATATGTTTCTGTTTCCCACAGCAGGGTTAGTCTGTTTCTCCAAAGAAATATTTATGGATTTTTTTATTTCCTCTTTAGGTCTTAGAGGAACCGACAGAAGAAGAAACTGCACTTCACAATCCGCTGATGCCCACTGTGGTTCGACCTCCAAGGCGAGCCGTCACTGGAGACGGTCAGAGCCAATCGCAGGTCCAGAACACGGTACATGTCCAGCGTGTCCACTTCCATATTAGTGTAAGACAGAATATTCTGTCACATAACAACAACAAGCTTCAGCAGATTTGATCAGGATTTTATTCAACAGATCAGCACAAAGTAGGGCGTAATTGTGAAGTAGAAGGAAAATTGTTCATGTTTTTTTTCTTTTTCTTTAAAATATAAAAAAAAAACATGAACAATTTTTTTGTGGCGTGCATTTGTAGTTGGGTCTCTTCTACTGTGATGCTTTTGAATAAAATCCAGTGGAACCAGTTTCCTTCAGAATCATGAAACCAGTAAATAAATCCGCTTGTAATTTAATTAGCGTCTGAGTCCAGCTGCACTGTGAAGAACACTGCAAAAACACAAAATATTACCAAGTATTTTTTATCTAGTTTCTACTGCAAATATCTTGGTGCATTTAAAATGTGACAAAATTAACTTACATGTAGCTTTCCAGCTTGTTTTAAGTCAATAATTCTTGTATATTGATAAACAGTAGCAGTTCCATTGGTTGATTGTTTTATTTATAAAATGGGAAACATATGTTGTTAAATTAACAAAATCTGCTTGTGAAACTACAACTTTTTATTAATATTCAAGAACTATTGACTTAAAATAGGCTCCTATAATATTTACTTGTAAGTTAGACTTGTCTTATTTCAAGTGACCTAAGATATATCCAGACGAAACTAGGCCAAAAACCACTTAAGATTTTATTTTTTTGCAGTGAAATCCAGTTGAAATGTTGCCATACGCATTTTTGGGAATGCTTTCAGAGTTGTGTGTGTGGGTTACAGAAACTGATTAAATCAAAACTGATCTCTGACCAAAACACTGATCATCACCACAGTTAAACACGGAAGTGGCTGCATCATGATGTGGGATTTCTTTTCCTTCAGCAATTCCAGTGAAGGTAGCCAGAGTTGATCCAGGCAGAAAGGCTGTTAGAATATTCTGAGTTTTAGTTTAAAAAAAAGTAGAAAACCAACCAGATTTAATGTTTTCTACATTAAATCTGATGGTTCTGACTGTAACGTCAGTTTGTGGGGAATAAAATGTGAAAATCGCTTAGGAGGATGAATAGGTTTGCAGGGGGCTGTAAAAGTAGCGGTCTCTATGACAACCTATCAGAGTCATTGTTGATAGAAACAAAGTTAGGAGCACATTTCTGCCAAAAAACGAAGTTTTTAGATTTATTCTAGAAATTCCATCAACATCATTTCTAATTCCAGAAAAAAATACTTGGAAATTTCCGAATTTCAAAAGTTGAAAATGTTCAGGTTTCTTCCTCAACTAGTTTTTTCTAGCAAATTTGTAACATTTCAAACTCAAACATTTCCAACTTGTTTTCTAGGAAATTTCTGAGATGAATCTTAAAATTTCTGAGTTTTTTTTTTCTAACAAAGCGCTTTAATGTAAAGCTCTTGGAACTGTCTGATTGCTGAAATGTGCTATACAAATAAACGCGATTGATTAATTTATAGCAGATTTTCGACTTTTGATGCTCAGAATTTTTCTCTAGAAGATTTCTGAGCTTAATCTCAAAATTTCTGAATTTTTGGTGGAAATTTTCTCCTTTTTGTATCTACAATGGCCAAGATTTTATTAATGTTGTCTCCCCAGTCCTGTGAGATGGGCATAGTGCGACAGTTGCCCTTCTCCTCGGTGCTGCAGAGGATGAGCGTGGTGGTCAGAAGGCTGGGGGACAAACACATGGAAGCCTTCCTGAAGGGGGCACCGGAGGTCGTGGCTGGCCTTTGCAAACCAAACTCAGGTCAGGCTTTCTTCTTTTGGGGTGAAGACATTCTCTCCTTTTTTGTCTTCTTTATAATAATAACAAGAAAGTGGCAGCAGAATTGCTTGGTGCCTCATCCAGGGCCCTGGTGCATCCAGACCACTCTGATCCCAGCCTGTTCTTCCCTTCAGTCCCACAGAGTTTCACTGAGACTCTGGAGAGCTACACCAGGCAGGGCTTCAGGGTGATCGCATTGGCACACCGACAGCTGGAGTCCAAACTGTCCTGGCACAAAGTCCAGACGCTCAGCAGGTACGTCACTAATCCCAGATAAAAAGTGTTGGCAGTGCCTGCGCTAGCTCCCACCTGGATTCTGAATCTATCTGCTCACATCTCCACTGTTAATGTTTAAACTCTGACCCTGATGTTCTCCCATCTCTTCTACAAGCAAATACGACTTTCACACTGCGTAAACTTTATGTTACGTCACAACCACAAACTTCAATGTGTTATTTGGGGATTTTATTCCATTCAGCAAAACTTTTAACCTCCAGCTGTGAAACGCTAGTGAAGAAATGCCTCAGAAGACGTGCAGCTAGTACAACGCTTGGCGATATGGACTTAAAGTTTTATCACAATATTTTATGGTGTTATTGTGATAACGATAAAAGTGAGGATAAGAACTATTTATTACTTTTATTTTAGGTAACCATATGGCTGTGACGACATGACACAGCAATCAGAGCCACATAAATAGGTATTCTTTAGGACTCCAGTCACAGAAAGATGTCTGATTTATATTACTAAACTACATGCAGTAACTGCATTTAATCATATTTTTAAATTAATTCATATGTATTGATAGTTTTCTTGAACAAATATAGAGAAAACCGCAAAAGTAACAGTCCTGAGAATACGGAACGTTTTGTGGGGTTTTAAGTATCATTAGCTGGAATTTATCATGGCAACAATAAATCAAAAATAAATGCCCAACCCTACGCTTGTAGCAGAACTAATATGAAAATTTGGGCCAATTTCAATATCCCTGTAAACATTGTTGTTATGGCCGACAGCCGATGTTTATCGATATTGTATAATTTATATATCTCACTACACCTCTGGCACCTTAAAACAATCAACCACTCTCACTGTCACATGACCAAACAAGCGCCACATGATCAAAAACCAAATTAATATCGGTTGTTAATATTTTATAGGACCAATACCGATATATTACTAAATGACTAATATCGTCCGATACCAATGACACTGCTGATATATCATACATCTCTAAGCAGAAACATTTTATTTAGCATTCTCTAAATACCTTATTTAATTTCCGTTTTGGAAAAAATAAAGTATTTTTCATTTGAATTTGAATTTCAACGACTCAGTGTTTCTGTTTGCGGTTACTCTGATATTACTGTCAAACAGGTGTTCGGTTTGTGTTTTTTTTTTTTTTTTCAGGGATCTGATAGAGACCGACATGGAGTTCCTCGGGTTGATCGTCATGCAGAACAAAATCAAACAGGAGACGGCCGGCGTTCTGACTGAGCTCCGGAGGGCTAACATCCGCACTCTGATGGTCACAGGTATCTCTGGTCCGTGAAGACGTCCGTTCATCAGGGATAACGCCGGTCTGCGCTGACACCCTCTTTCTGACGGGTTTTCTCTATCAGGGGACAACATCCTGACAGCTATCTCTGTGGCTCGAGACTGCGGCATGATCCGTTCACACGAGAACGTCATCGTCGCTGATGCTGCGCCCCCCAGAGACTCCTGTCCCCCCTGCATCACGTGGCGTTATGTGGAGAACCTCGCTCAGACTGCCAGGGACGATCAGGTGAGCCTGGAGGCTTTGAAGAATGCTAGGTTGGAGTCATTAGAGAAAAAGAGTTACCTCCCTAAGTACTGATTAAGGCATGATTAAGACACATTATTTTCTATAATAATGATTACTGTTTTACAGAAAAAGAACATAAGAAGGCAGGAATTTGATATCAGACAAACCACCACTGGTTTGTCTGTTAGCCAGTGGTGGGCACCGCTAACTAAAAGGTTAGCTGTGCAAACCCTAAAGTACTAATAATAAACATTAGTTCTGCTAACGCTAAGGCATTACGCTAACAAGGTATATTTTCAGAAGCTAATACTAAGGCGCTAACTTTATTTCAAATCCTATCTGCTATTGAAAGACTACAATCCTTCGCAATAAATTTAGTTGACATTGTAACTTACATGTTCCATAATGCCCTTAGATATTGTATTTATGTTTATATCTTGTTCTTGTTCCCTGTTGTATGTTTTATTGTTCCTGCATATTTCTTGTTTGGAATAAAGTTATTTGGGGAGAAAAGAGACACAAAGTTAGGAGACAAAATGGAGCTAAACAGCTTCCAAATGAAGAGCAGGAATATAAACGTAACAGCCTGAAAGGTTCTTAGCTGATAACCAAAACCTCAGCACAGATGTTGAACTTTTATCTGAAAGTTTACAAAACAGCTAAATAAATTAGTGCTTTTAGAATTTATCCAGGAAAATTAATTTAGGGCAAGCTAAGTGCACTCAATGTTTTTAAAGTTAGCAAATGTGCTAAAGTGCTACATGAAAAATTAGGGCATTAGCGGTTTAGTTGAAGTGTTCCCACCACAGCTAGTAAGCTGTCAACGTTTATAAATATTTATTTTGGCTATTTCATAAAAAAGTTTCCAGGAAGATATTGAAAGACTTTCACTGTCTAACACACGTACGCAATTTTTTTCCTCAAGATCAAAAACAATTCAACAATCAAAATGATAATTTTTTTTATTTTATTTTATTTTTTCCAACACATATTAAGTAAGGAGCAACCAAATGAAGTTAATCCTAAGATTTCTACATCATTACCAGCTCACAGATCTCTGCAGGACTTTCTGCTTTTCACTCTTCCATGATGTCATAGTATTTGTGCAGGTGTCTCCCCAAAGCAAATACTTAACCCACCCACCCCTCCCCCCACTGGGGACTCAGTTTTTACTAGTTTTTAACAGCTTTCTGCTGCTAAAGTTACTATCCTGTGACAGCGAGCTTCTCAGATCTACAGCGCAGTGAAAAAGTACGAATTGGTTCTGTTTGTCACAGATCATCAAGCAAATTTTAGACAAAGATAACCTATTAGTACAGTGAGCAGTTTTCAGTTGATGATTTAACTTGTTTAGATATTTAGCTATCAGATGCTTGTGGAAACTGACAATAAGTGTTTTCTCCCACTGTGGAGAACAGATCATATACCTATAATGGTAACTTTAGCTTTGATAATAGCTGTGCTCCTCTTCTGGTTGACATAAAAATGTAACATAAAATAAAGAACAGAACATTTTCATCTCTAATGTAAATACTTAAATCAGTATTGAATTGTTTTGTGTTGTTCCTGATTTAATTATGCTTTACAATGGTATAATAACGTGAGATGAAATGAGGTGAAATCATCAGTTTGTCCACACTGTGAACTATCTCCCTCAGGGTGCACAGATCCTCGTGGAGGATGAGATGTATCACTTTGCTCTGAACGGTAGAGCCTTTGCTGTTATCACAGAACACTTTCCTCAGCTAATACAGAAGGTACTTTCTCATTTTTGCACGTTGACATGTCCACATGATCCACACAAAGTATGTTTTGCTTATTCGCTTCTGTAGTTGTAATGACATTTTCCTCCCACATGGGTGCGTTGCAGCTCGCTCTAAGAGCCACCGTGTTCGCCCGCATGGCGCCAGACCAGAAGACCCAGCTGGTGGAGATCCTGCAGGGCATTGAGTGAGCCTCTCTGATTCTGCTGCTGCTGCTGCTCTTTGGCTCATTTCCATCTGTTTTCACTGCTGCAGCTTCATCCACTCTGTTTACTTTCCAGCTACATTGTTGGAATGTGTGGCGACGGCGCCAATGACTGTGGGGTAAGTTTGGGTTCTCTAAACTGCTGGTGCGTTGGCAAATCAGTTCATTTTTCATGTGAAATATGATGGGATGTTACTCAGACAGCTCAGGTAGAAACATAATGGTAATATGCACCACACCACAAACTTATTATTATTATTATTATTATTATTATTATTATTATTATTAATAATAATACTTTAATTTAAAATATATGGCAATTTTCCAAACACTCAAAGATACTTTACAGGAATCAAGTAAAATTACAAACAGAACACTAAGTAGATCAAACAGAATCAAAAAGGAGAAAACTGAAATACACAGCACATTAAAAACACACAGGATAAACAAAGAAATGCTAAAATATAACATTAAAAAATCATATTAATATAGTTGTAGGAAATATTCAGTACTAGAGTTTAGATGACAGTTTTTTCTGCATCTTGCAAAAGTATGTATTCCTCTGCAGCAGATGGCTTTATTCGTCTGCTGCATACTTTATTCTCGTATTATAAACACTTTATTCTGGTAATATGATTTTATTGTTACCTTATTAGGACTTTTTTTCTAGTATTATTTGGACCTTATTTTCATATGACTTTATTCTCATAATGTTATTGTTTTTATCCTTGCAATTTAGAAAAACAAATTATCTTAAAAATGAGTACTCTGTTGTAAAAAAAAAATGGAACAAGAATATTCTGATATAAAACAGTGTTTAAATGTTGATATTGGCCCTAAAAGGGGAACAGAGACCGTCCCAAAAGGTTTTCTTCCTTTTCTGTAAAAGTAATTTTTGTTAAAACTGTAAAGGAACCCGTTATTGTTCATTTAGTGTTTACATCTCAGGTCATATGTTTCTACTGTTGCGATGCTGATATGACGCAGCAACACGTATGACTTGGCCGATTCTAATCGTAGCTTCAAATGCGCTGCTGTCGCCTGTCTCAGAGTAACTGAAGGCGTTTCCCTCTCAGGCCCTGAAAAGAGCACACAGTGGGATTTCTCTGTCTGAGCTGGAGGCGTCGGTCGCCTCTCCCTTCACTTCCTCCACCTCCAACATCTCCTGTGTCCCCAACCTCATCAGGTACGGTGAAGACCAGGTCCTGACCTGGAGCGTCGATGAGCAAAGTGACACGTAGCAACAGGTCCAACTTTTCACACCTTTCTCCTGGTGTCTGATAGAGATGCACCGATCTGATATTAGCGACGTCACACTTATCTATTTTACATTATATTTAGAATTCCTAATTGCACTTTCTAAACCATTTGAAAGAAAGTTTGTTGCAGTTTATTTTTACATGTTTGACCAAAATAGTCAACCTGTTGTTTTTATCATTTTCAGTTTCTTTATCATTTATTTTCCATTGGCTGTTAGCCTCCTAATTGCTCTGACTGAACAAATGAGAGTTATTTTTTACATGTTTGTCCAAGCTTGTGAAGCTGTTGGTGTATTTACGTATAGTGTACTGATGCAAAGTTATCAAATTAATTTGTAATAAGTCAATTCAGCACGATTCTTCTGTATCGTATCAGTATCGGCTGATACAAAAACCTCAAATCTCTGTATTTGTATCGGAAGTGGAAAAAGTGGATCAGTGTGTCCCTACTTAGGGTCTGATGGAAAACTACACATTTCCCATGAGATTAAAATTCTTCATATAGTGAAAATTATAAAATAATTTTAGTTGACAATGTGAAAGTCTGAATGTTTGTTTTCCAAAGGGAGGGACGAGCCGCCCTCATCACGTCGTTCTGCGTCTTTAAGTTCATGGCTCTCTACAGCATCATCCAGTACATCAGTGTCATTTTGCTTTACTGGGTAAATACTCCACTGATCTCTTTTTTTTCTGTGTCTTCTCCTTTTTATTTGCGCAGTTTTAACTTTTTTGTTAACGCAGATCCTCAGCAACTTGGGAGACTTCCAGTTTCTCTTCATTGACCTCGTCATCATTCTCATCATCGCCTTCACAAGTGAGTTCCATTATCAGCTGGACGGGTTGTCAGTCACCGGAGGTCATTCTGGTGATGCCTGTGTGTGTGTGTGTGTGTGCGTGTTTGTGTGTGTGTTTTGTTTTTTGTTTTGCCTGTCTTCAGTGAGTCTGAACCCAGCGTGGAAGGATCTGGTGAGGCAGCGTCCTCCGTCCAGTCTGATCTCGGGCCCGCTGCTCTGCTCGGTTCTGACCCAGATCCTCACTTGCCTGGCCTTCCAGGTCTTGACTTTCTACTTGGTGCAACAGCAGAGCTGGTACGAGACATGGACGCCTCAGTCAGAGTGAGTCACCGTCACTGTGGGACACCGATGGCTTCACCGGTCAGGCCGTTCAGGCCGACCGCAGCAGCATCAGGACCGATACCTTGGCTTTTTTTCAAGTCTTGAGTTTGAGGTCCAAAAGTCTTGGTTCATCCTTCTTTTCTCTCATCTTTTCCTAGATTGAACCAGACTTGTCCTAATTTTTTAAAGTTTAAAATAATTATTTTTTTTTTGCTTGTTCCATGACAAGAAAGATCAAGATATTGTATATGTGGCGTAAGAAATTGTAGGACATTGAAGTCCTTCCGATTGTGTCAAAACTGGTTGAAAGGATTTTTTGCTACATTTGCAACCACAAATTATAACTTACAGCTCTGTAAAATGAAGAGACCGCTAAAAATGATCCATTTGTCTGATTTGACTTTTTGTAGATATATGTTGGTGTTACATCCTAGAAGTATTTTATTTAAATTATTACTTTTTTTATGGATAAAACACTCCATTCATTTATTTAATATTTGCCCAGTTGTTTTTGTTCAGCCACAGAAGCATTACAGAATCTGAGCTGCGGCTGCGTCACTGTTTTGGTGGGTAGCAGAGGTGTGTCAGTTGCTCAGTTGTGACGTTGTAGCTCTTAAACAAGAAACTTGGTTACAGTTTTGCGTCTGTGCTTCTGTGCCCGGCTGCTTCTGAGAAGAGCAATTCCAAAAAAAGAAACACAGCGTAGGGCAAATAAAGTTGCCGAAACAGAAGAAGGACGCCTGTCTGTTTTGTGAGTGCAACATTTGCGTAAAATGAACATGTTTTATTCTATGAACTACTGTCTCCAAAATACCAAGCAAAAATTTTATATTTATTTGCAGAAAACGAGAAATGGTCAAAATAACGACAAAAAGGCAGTGCGTTCAGACCCTCAAATTATGCACAAAAACAAGTTAATATTCAGTTAGAAACAACAATCCTAATGTTTTAACTCAGGAAGAGATCAGAAATCAATATTTGGTTGAATAACCAGGAGGTTTTCAATGGGGATCAGTGCAGTGGGCTCTTCATTTTTAGCTGTATGTTGTTCTACATGATAGATAAACACACTTTTGTGAGGTGGAAGGACAATTGAACTATATATGATTTTCATGTTTTGCAAAAAAATATTCTATGTTTCTCCGAATAATACCTGATTATCCAGAGCCTTGTCTAAAATGGCCAGCTACAAGGACATGGACACAAAATCTGAAGGAATTTGATATAAGTTGAGACTTCCTCACCTTGGCCCGACTCGGGGGGCATCTTATCTACAAGAAACAATCTAATGGGACACTGGAAAAGACTATTGTGCTAAAAGGAGTTAGCCTATCAATAAGGCTTTTCTAGCCTAAAACAGCATCTCAGTGGTAAACATTTAGCAGCACAAACATTTCAAAATAAGGATTTTTCTTTCAAAGAAGTTCTGTGAATGATCAGGATGCAGTCTGAAGGAGTATAATAGCACTTTTCACCAATCTGATGGGTGAAAAACCTAAACAACAATAAATATCTTTATATGTCTATTTATTCAAAAAAATATGAAGCAATAAGAGTTTGTGGATTGAAAATGTTACATACTTTGTCAATATATAATTTTTGATTAAAACGTGACCTTGCAATTAGTTTGATTAAAATTTTTAATCGAGTCGCTGCATGAAGCATTTTGATTTCAAGGACTTATTTTATTTCAGAATCAGAATCAGTTTATTTATTTATTCTTTTGCGTTCCCTCTGTCCTGCAGCGTCTGTAACGTCTCCCGAGCCAGCAGCTTCTCCGACCGCCACAACGGAACAACCTCTCACGACCACAAAAACATCCGCAACTACGAGAACACGTCCCTCTTCTACGTGTCGTCCTTCCAGTATTTAGCCGTGGCTATAGTTTTCGCCAAAGGGAAGCCCTTCAGGCAGCCGAGTTACAAGAACTGTAAGCCTGTTGCAGCGAGGCGCCTTTCCTAATATGTTACCTTTGTGATCAGTGAAGTCAAAGCAAACACAAAAATACCATCTGAATGTCTCTCTCTTTTTTAAAAAATCTTCCATAAGGGCCGTTCATGCTGTCCTGTGTCAGTCTCTACTCTTTTCTCCTCTTCATCATACTGTTCCCCATCTCTGCTATCGATAACTTTCTAGAGGTAAATATTTTTGACTACTTTTTCATTAATTCTGGGTGTAAATTTAAGACACTGCTTAGTTGGTAGTTGCATGCTAATAGATGATAAAAGAATGCCATAGATACACCATTCATTTTTTTAAAAAAAGCTTGTTTAAAGCTGCAGCATGTAAATTTAATAGCTTTGTTTTTTTACATATTTGTTGAAACTGTCACTATTTCGTGAGAGAATGCTATGAGACACAATCTGTGAAAAGATCCAAACTCTTCTATCTTCTCCCAGTGTTAACTAGAAACAATCACAGTCTGACAATTAGACCAGAAAGTGTTCTTTAGTTATCCTTTATTTATTTAACCTGTTAGTCTTGGTACATACTCTTATTAATTTAATTATCTATTTTGTTATTCTTTTTTGTGTCTCTTTTTCACTTCTACTCAAAATATCTGTGGCCCTAGGTTAATCCAGGGATATTAGAGAGTACGAAAATAAGACATTTAAAGATAATAAAATCATTTTTGCACAATTTTCTTTGGTCTGTAATGTTTGTTCTCTGTGCACTAATTTATATTAAAAATAAAAACAAAAACAAAAACTAGAAACACTCAATCAGAGGAAGGAAACAGGTGTCAGTCATCCTCCGTGTGGCGCTGCTCATCCCCCTTGCTCTTTGCTATGCTGCAGCTAGCAAAGCCTGTAGTGAATGCTACACTAGTTAGCATGTCTGCTGTGGACGGTGGATAAGCAATTTTCCTGTAAAAAAAAGTTGTTTCTCTGACATTAGCACGTTTAGCAGCGAGGGCATGAGGATGATTGACAGCTCTAAGCCCCTCCTCCTGACTGTGATTGGTTGTTTTTGGTGCATTTATCAGACGGTGATAGCTGCTCAGGGAGAATATGGAGGAGATTGATCTTTTCACAGATTATCTGTCTCATAACAAACTGTCACTATGTGGTGACAGTTTTAATAAAAATGTAAAAAAAAAAAAAAGATTTTTTAAAATAAAAGTTACATAGTGCAGCTTTAAAGTAAAGTGACCAGTTGTGTGAAAAAAAGCCTTTTGTGTGATGCTTTCTGCACTGCTCATCGTGCCCCCCTTTCCCCCCATCAGATCGTGTGTGTTCCACATGACTGGCGTGTTACTCTGGTCATCATTATTGCAGTGAATGCCATCGTGTCTTTCATGTTGGAGGTACGACATCACATCCTGTCTCTGACCGATCTGCCTCAATATGCAAAGTGCGATTTGCATGCATTGAATTTTTTTTTTCTTTACCAAAATCTTGCTTGTAGCTGCACAATTGCTTCTTAATGAATGAAATACGTTGATTACATCTTTTAAATTTGTGACACTTGCCGTTTTTCTGGTGCTGTAACTCGATCCTGATGATTAGCCGACTCTTGAAGTTCCCCTCCCCTGAAATCTCCCGTAGATTTTGATCGTTGACATCATCTTGTGGAGGCTTGTTTTCAGAGGAAGTCAGGGGGCCAATGGCCCCAGAGAGTCCTCCTCTGGCGACACACCACAGGTTGGGAAGCCTTTTTTTCCCCTCTCTCTCTTACTAAAATCTGCTTCATTCAGTCTCACTGTTTAGATAGCACCTTGTACTTAACTCTAGCTCTTTCACTCCTAAAACTGCTATCTGTCTTTTCTTGATACGCATGGTGGTTCAGTATATATGAAAATCTCGTTTTAGTGGGTTTAAATGTGAAGACAAGTTTGCACATTTGGCGAAGCATGAAGACCTGTCACATATGTGACGCATGTGTGTTGCTCTTGATTCGTCAACATTTGGCCTGGTATAGACCCTTTTCACATGACGTCACACAACCTCCGTTTTGGCTCGAAGCTGTGTATCCTTAGTTCCGGTGTACATAGTAAGTAACGATAAAGTTGTCTATTTCATATATATATATATATATATATATG